AGGAGAATATTGAAAGTACCATGGGCTGCCAAAAGAACCAATAGATCTGTTTTGGAAGAAGTGCAGCCAGAGTGCTCCTTGGAGGCCAAGATGGACAAATTTTGTTTCTCATACTTCGGACATATTGTCAGGAGGGACTAGTCACTGGAAAAGGATATCATATTTGGGAAGGTGGAGAGTCAGAGAAAAAGAGGAAGACCCCCAACGAGATGGATTGGCCAAGTGGCAGCATCAGTGGGCTCAAGCTTGGCAACAGCAGTGAGGTTGGCCCAGGATCGGGCATTGTTTTGTTCTGCTGTGCATAAGGTCGCTATGGGTCGGTACCAACTCAATGGCACCTAACAACAACAACAACTTAGAACATTGCAATGCAAATCATTATTACCCTGCTGACTTATATATTATTTTAAAGTATTTTCTTTCTCAGTTTTCTCTTTTTTAGTTCTCTTTTACCCTAACATTGAATTATCATATTTTTAATACATTGAAAATTAATTTTATACGTACTCAGATGTTTATAATTTTACTACCATAAAATTCTTTCCCTCCTCTGCTATTTCCTTAGAAAGAATCTCTTATTAGTTTAGTATCATCTTTTGATAAAAATATATTTACCCTTAATCTAGAAAGACATTTTAATCTGTATAATCTGTATTCATTCTAGGTTGAGAGGGTTTTTTTTTTTTCTTTGGTTTTAGTTTTGACTTCTATTGTTGTTTGTGGGTTATCTGGTTGCTTTCTTTAGCTACTCTTACCTTTGGAGCTGGGGTTTGAGAATTTCACAAAAAATCAGTATAGGTGTGGATTTATATTTTTTGATTTTGCTTTGGGTTTGTTGTACTTCCTTAATAATGTTAGGCCCTCCAGTCATCAATTCTAGGACATTCTAAGCCTTTATATAGATATACAAGGGACATCAGAAAGTTCATTGAAAAATGGAACGAAAAGTTAATGAATTTTATCCACGTACTTTTTGAAGCCTCCTTATACATTGTTGTTGTCGTTAAGTGCTGTTGAGTCATAGCGATCTGATGAGCAGCTGATGGGTTTGAACTACCGATCTTGTGGTTTGTGGTCCAGTGCTGATCCTGTAGCACATCAGGAGTCTCCCTTATATATTGTTGTTGTTGTTAAGTGCTGTTGAGTCAGTTCTGACTCATAGCAACCCCATATAGGGTTCCTGAGGAGCAGCTGGTGAGCTTGAACTGCCGACCTTGCAGTTTAAATGACTTTGCAGTCTGGTGCATTAACCCATAGCGTTAGACCTCCTTATTTTATCCTTTATGACTCTTAACCACATGGTCATAACTTTATTCCTTTGTCTCTCTATCATATCCGTGTTTGTCTTCTAGTTCATGAGTTCTTTCTTCAACTTAGTCTGATTTTCTGTTCAAACTATCCATTGAGCTTTATGTAGAAGTTGTTGATCTAACACTCCAATGTGTATAGACCTTGCACTTTGTATTTTGTGTCTTCATAGCATTTGTCATTCAATATTACCTGGGCCACAAGGGATCAGCAGCTATACTATGGGAACTACCACCTTCAACAGTGGAACGCGTCTTTAAATTCTCATAACCTACTGTTAGTGGCCTGTTGAGTCTTTTTTTTTAAACTTTCATGCATTCGTTTATTTATATTTATAAGGACTCATATATAAAAAGTTTGTTAATACACTTTCAGGTTTTATTTAGCAACTAGCCTTTAAAAAATTACTTTTGTTGAGTTTGATGTAGTATGAAAAAAGAATATCCTTAATTTTCTGGAAAGGCTACTAAAATACCTTTCCATTCTCCAATATCTATTTATGTGGAAGATTTTCTTCATAAACTTTAACTAGAAAAATACATTGCAACTGATTGTTTCCAGCAGAACCTAACTTGTTTGTTCAGTCAGATATGAAATTATTTAACAAAATGTAAACAATGCCACTTTTCATTTTATTTACTTTAGATGCAACAGGTTTACTAGTGTTATTATTTATAATGCATATTATTATTTATGGAGTCCTGGTATGGTGCTGTAGGGTAAACGCTGGACTACTAACCACAAGATTGATGGTTCAAACCCACCAGCTGCTCCTTGGAAACCCCATACAGGGTTGCTGTGAGTTGGAACCAATGCGATAGTGCTTAACAACATTATTATTTATAGCAGCTTCATTGAAATATGATTCACCTGTTTAAAGTATACAACTTAGTGATTATGAGTACATTCTCAGAGTCTTGGAATCATTACCACTATCTAATTTTAGAACATTTCCCTTACCCCTCACCAAAATCCTGTGTTCATTGTCACTCTTCCACTTACCTAAGCCCTTGGTAATCATGAATATACTTTCTGTCTTTACAAACCAACCCAAACTTACTACCATCAAGTTGATTTTGACTCATCACGATATTATAGGACAGAGTAGAATTGCTCTATAGAGTTTCTGAGACTGTAAGTCTTTAAAGGAGCAAATACCTTCATCTTTTTACTAAGAGTGGGTGATGGATTTGAACTGCCAACCTTGTGCTTAGCAGCCCAACACTTAACCCATCGCACCACCAAGGCTCCTTTTCTGTCTCTAAGTACTTGCTTATTCTGGAAATTTCAATATAAATGGAATCATATGACATGTGGTCTTTTGTGAACAGCTTCTTTCACATAGAATAACTTTTCCATATTTTAGTATGTATCAGTACTTCATTCCATTTTATAGTTTTTCATCCACCACTCATCTGTCAATTTGTCATACTGTGGTGGCTTGTGTGTTGCTGTGATGCTGGAAGCTATGCCAATGGCATTTTAAACACCAGCAGGGTCACCCATGGTGGACATATTTTAGTGGCATTTTCAGACTACTATAGACTAAGAAGAAGGAGAGGCAGACTTCTTCGGAATGTTTACCCACTGTAGACCTTAGAAATAGCAGCAGAACATTGTCAGATATAGTGCTGGGATGATGAGTCCCACAAGTTTGAAGACACTCAAAATATAACTAGGGAAGACTGACCTCCTCAAAGTAGAGTTGATCTTAATGATGACTTATATGTTATTTTAAAGACCTTCTTGACTTGAAACCTTTCAAGACCTTTCTAGCAAAGCTTTCAAGACCTTCATTTTCAGATGGAGCACAACTCAAAATAAGAAGAAAACATCTGTAAATATCCATTAATAATTGGAACATTGAATGTTCAAGTATGGATCTAGGAAAATTGGAAGTCATTGAAAATAAGACTGAATGCATAACACTGATCTTCTAGTTATTGCTGTTGTTGTTAAATGCTGCCGAGTCAGTTACACCCCAAAGCGACCGTATATAGGGCTTCTGAGGAGCGACTGGTGAGCTTGAACTGCTGACCTTGTGGTTCAAACTGACTCTGCTGTCCAGTGCATTAACTCATAGCACCACACCAAAACTCCAATATAGACATTAGTGAGCTAAAATGGAATGGTATTGACCACTTAGATTCAGGCAGTCATATGTTTTACTATGCTGGAAATCACACACTGAAGAGGAATGGTGAAGCATTCATTGTTAAAATCTATCTTGAGGTACAATGCTGTATGTGATAGCATAATATATGCCTACAAAGATGGCCCCTGGTGTAGCACTGCAGAGTTAACACTGGACTGCTAACTGCTAGGGTGGTGGTTCATACCTACCAGCCACTCCTTGGAAACCTTATACAGGGTCACTATGAGTTGGAACTGATTCAATGACACTTAACAACAACAACAAAACAAAGAATGTCAGTTAATACCACTATTACTTAATTTAAGTACCAACCACTAAAGCCAGTGATGATGCAATTGAAGAATTCTACCAAAACAGAAAGAAGTCTTGGTCGTATAGTAGATTATAAACTGGGCTGCTAACCACAAGATCATCAGTGTGAATCTAGCAGCCATTCCACTGGAAAAAGATGAGGTTTTCTATTCCTGTAAAGATTTACAGCCTTGGAAACCCTATACAGGGTTTTTATGAATTGGAACTGATTTGGTGGCACACAAGCCTTGCCAAAACCACCAAAAGGGAAGAGTTTGCTCAAAATTTCTCAAGCTGAAAGAACTGAAAATGAAAAAAAAAAAATCAAACCTTGGTTGCAATATTGAAGGAGTTCTGGTGTGACATAAAGCATTGGACAGCAAGGTCGGTTTGAACCGTGGGTCGGCAGTTCAAACTTACCAGCTGTTCCTTTGAAACCCTATACAGGGTCACTATGAATGGAAACCAACTCAATGGCACTTAACAACAACAATAATAGGCAAAATATTGAATTATGCTCACAACATCAAAAGAAGATGAAAGAAATACAGAGTCACTGTACCAAAAATGATTGGTCGATGTTCAGTCAGGAAGTAGCATAGGATTGAGAACTAATGGTATTACAGGAAGAAGTCCAGCAGCACTGAAGGCTTTTGCAAAAATAGGGCCCCAAGGATTGATGGAACACAAATATGTAAATGACAAAATCTTGCTTTCTGAAAGTGAAGAGGATTTGAAATATTTACTGATGAAGATTAGAGACTATAGCCTTTAGTGTGGCTTGCCCATCAATGTAAAGAAAATGAAAATCTTCACAACTGGACCAATAAATAATATGATAAATAGAAAAAAGACTGAAGTTGTCAAAGGCTTCAATTTGCTTGTAGTCATAATCATGGCTCAGGGAAGCAGCAATCAAGAAATCAAAAAATGTATTACATTAGGCATGTTGTTGTTAAGTGCTGTCCAGTTGGTTCCCACTCAGAGTGACCCTGTATAGGATTTCAAAAGACCTCTTTAATGTGTTTAAGAGCAAATATGTCAGTTTGTGGACTTAAGGTATAGCTTACCCAAGCCATGATGTTTTCAATAGTTTAATATGTATATGAAACTTGCACAATGTATAAGAGCGGACTTAGTGGAATTGATGAATTTGAGATATGGTGTTGGTTGAAAATACCATGGACTTCCAGAAAACCCAACAAATCTATCTTGAAAGAAGTACAGCCATAATTCTCCTTAGAAGCAGTAATGGCAAGACTTTGTCTTTCATATTTTGGACATAGGGTTGCATAGGGTGCATAGGGTATATAGGGTGCATAGGGTTGCATAGGGTTGCTTAAGGTTGCATAGGTTTGCTATGAGTTGCAACTGAACTGTATCAATGGCATCTAACAACAACATAGGCAAAATACTGACTGATGCAGGTAGCATCAAAGAAAGTGGAAGGAATATACAGATAACCTGTACCAAAAAGAATTGGTTGATGTTCAATCATTACAACAGGTAGCACTGGAGGAAAAAATTCAATTTCAACAAGTAATATTGATGGAAAAAAATCAAGCTGCACTGAAGAAACTGGTGAAAGATAAAGCTCCAGTAATAAATGGAATCCAAATTGAAATGTTTTTACACAAATATAGCACTGGAATTGCTCACTTCACTGTGCCAAGAAATTTAGAAGACGGAAACCTGGCCAACTGATTGAAAGAGATTCATGTTTGTGCCCATTCCAAAGAAAGGTGACGTAGTGGAATGTGAAAATCATTGACTAATATCATTAATATCACATACAAGTAAAATTTTGCTGAAGATAATTAAAATACAGTACAGCCATACACTGCCATGGAGCTGCGCAGAAATTCAAGGTGGATTCAGAAGAGGATGTGGAATGAGGGTTATCACTGTTGACATCCGATGGATAATGCCTAAAAATTGGATCCAATTCAAAGGCACCTAACAACAACAATAATAACAATAGCAAAATTCTCCTGTTTATTGTTTTTGCTCCCTCTCCCTCCATTCTTTATCATATTTTAGAAGAGTTCCCTCAGAAGTTGAAGACGGCCCAACTAACACAAACTAAGTAGAACTGAGTGTTCCTCTCTCTGTATCAACTTAGTTGTTATTTTTAAACGAATAAATAAAAAAGTAAAATTTTTCCTTTAATTTTTTGTTTGGTAAGTTTCTATAGATACAATCCACATAATCCAAGCTTTTTGGGGTTATTCTATGAATTTAAAGAATTTAATAGGGTCTTGAGACCAAAAAGTTTGAGAACTAACATTCGAGGCTCCTTTTAGATTAATCTTATATAGTACCATTAACTGTTGCTTACTCACTTACATATGGTTATTTTTCTGTCAAAAAATTTCTACTTTATACTGTATAGTCATTTTAATATTAACATATACTTTAAAGTCCACTCAATTTGTTCCAAAGTAAAACCAAATCATACCAAACCCATTTCTGCCTAGTTGATTCCTAAATCAAATAAATACTAGATGAAAAGTCATCATCAGAAGTTGCTGTTAGCACATTGTCTGGCATGTAGAAAGTGATCAGTAGATATTTGTTGATTGGACGAATAAACATTGCCATTTAATTAATTATTTTTTGTCTAAAATCTAGATTAGCAATGAGATTGAGAATGTGACAGAGGAACCCACCAAACCAGCAGCTGAGCAGACTGCGGAATTCAGCATCCACCTTTTGGGGAAACAGTACAGGACAGAACTACAAGATCCCTTCACCTCCTATCACCAGCATCTTGTAGAAGAATTCATTTCAGAAGTATTTATTTTTTGGGTTATTGTTTTGATAAACAAGACAAATTTCTGAGTTTGTAATTTTCTCATATTCACAATACTAGTATTAAAGGCAGTTTTAGAATTCAAGCTCTCCATCTACTTGGTTCTTGGCATGAGGATTTATTGATTTAGCCATTACTTCAGAAAACCCTGTGAGGAATTCATGAAAAGACAGATGATTTCTTTCATTAGAGTAAAAGTCTTACGTGTATTTGCCACCTGCTAATAAGTGCTGTTTCTAGTTTGTGCCACATAAGAGTTGAAGAACGTGCTGTTCTATGCCATGGTTTTAACTTGATGATATTTTTTCATTGAGAAAAAAATCAAGTAGTAACACATAAGAATATTCACATGGTACAAAGTTCAAAAACACAAAAAGGGCACCCAATGAAAAGTAACATTCCCTTCTATCTTTGTTCCAGGGTTGGGCTATTTTTAAAGGGATTTCTTTAAAGAATTTTGCATTACACTTTTCTAAATCTGTACCTTCTGAAAGTATTCTATATAGCACTTGAACTCAAGTTTGCTCAGTTAACAATGACCCATACTTGTCTTTTTCCTGTGTACCTTTGAATACTCATTTATTCCTCTCTGATGACAGGCACGCTATTCCTTTCTGTTTATTTCTTTTCCATTCCTTCATGATCAGGTTCACCTTGGCCAAATTTGTTAATTCCATTACCGTTGACTAATTTCCTTCACTAGATACTGTGTCCAATTGGGAAATAAAAATGTGCACCTCTCAGCCAAACAACATCACTGCAGCCATTCGACGCGGGGATTGTAGTCTAGATGATGAATTTTCCTTGCTGTGTGGCCAAGTTGCAAAGCTGTGTGGTATGTGGAGGAAATGTCAGCCAAGCCAGAGGCCACCTGGTATCAGGTAGTGTCTTGGATTGGCTGTCTGGTTCTTTCTACCCTTGAATTAAGGAAGCTTTAATAATCCTTAGTGTTTGGGTAATGCACTGGATGACTACAGATTTAGACAAAAACATCTCCAGCAGGGACTTTATGAGGTAGGCAGCTGTTGGTTTGCGGTGATTCAAGGATGGTGAAGGGTCTTCACCTCCCATGAAAAATCTTCTTTGGTCCATCTCTAGACTCCTTCTTGTTGTTATTATGTGCCGTGGAGTCGGTTCTGACTCATAGCGACCCTGTACAGGGTTTCCGAGGCTGTAAATCTTTACGGGATGACAGGGAGCAGTTTCTCCCGTGGAACAGCTGATAGTTCCAAACTGCTGACCATGAGATTAGCAGCCCGAATTGTAACCACTACGCTACCACCTGGTATCAAATATTTGCCACTAGCCACTTCATTGTGTGGAATAGCAGAGTCAGCAGTTGGGTCTCTGATGGCCCATGTCACCATGCCTACTGAGAATTGAAGACAGCCCTCCACCTCTCTCTCTTCAGAGCACAGTCATCCAGATTGTCCCCTCAGCTTCAGTAGGTGATACTGAAATGCATAGGAGAAAACAAACATGCTTGGAGAGATGAGGTTCAAGAACTTTTATTCTTCCAGTCAGGCTAAGAGGAGACGTGGGCATGAGAGGCTTTGGGTCAACACGAAGTATGATACCAGAAAGGGCAGGACAGACTTGGAAGTGTCACTGACATAATACCAAGGATAATTACAGTATCAGTACAGTTTCTTTACATAGTGCTTTATGTTTTGCAGACTGTTTCTGTTTGCTCCCAGTAGCCTTGTGGGAGAGTATCTTTTTTTTTTTTTTTTTAACAGATATGGAAGCTGAGGCTCAAGGAAGTCAAGTAACTTTTTTATGGCCATTTCAGCCTCTCTTGAATAGATGGGAAAAGCACATCTTTTCTTTCCTTTTCAATGTGTTATTTCCTTTATATGATAGTTATTTTAACTCAGAGAATTTTTAATTTGTAGTTTTTCCAATTCTACTCCTAATTCTAAAACCTATTTATCATGAGACAGGAGAAGGAGGAAGAATATAGGCTTTGGGGCTAGAAAGATTTGGGGTTGAATAAATTCTGAGTCAGTCACTTACCAAATGTGCACTCCTGGTGAGTTAGCTGACGCGTTAGAGTGGGGGTGGGGAAACCTTTTTTCTGCCCAAATTTGTGACATCTTTAGCAGACTATACATAATTGTCAACTTAAAAAAATAGCCTGCTATATTTGGTCATTTAATTAACTCACCACTAATGTGATGGCTGGAACTGTGGTTGCCTGGCAGGGTCAGACCTAATGATTACATGGGTCTTATGCAGCCTGCGGGCCAGGCACTCCTCACCCCTGCTTTATAGTCTCTGTTTTCTCATCTATAAAATTGATATAATATGTATCTCTTAGGACTATTACAATGATTATAAATAATATTTTCAAGTTACCAGGCACATAGCAGTCACTCAGTAAATTATAGTTACTAGTCTACCAGCTGCTCCGTGGGAGAAAGATCAGGCTTTCTACTCCCGTAAAGATTTACACCCTCGGAAACCCTATACAGGGTCGCTATGGGTCGAAACCGACTTGACGGCACTTAACAACAACAACAACACGTGTTAATTACTGTTGGTTAATAAAACAGAATGACTCTTTCCCCAAACAGACACCTATATCCAGTAGTTAACTGGATGTGCTGAATTAGAATACTTACATGTATTTGGATTCAGGTTGGTAAAGTTCAGGCAAGAAATGGGTTTAGCAATCATAATATCATATAGTACTGCATTTTGTGTTTTACTGTGCTCTTTCAGATATGTTCATTTTTAATCTTACAAAAATTAAATCATGTTGTAAGTGGGGAGAGCAGTATTAGTTCTGTAACAGAAGAATAGTGTATGGTCGCTCTGCCAACAAAATCAACAGAACTGGGACTAACTTTTAGTCTTCTGATTGCTTCTTGTTGTTGTTAAGTGTCAAGTCAGTACCAACTCATAGCGACCCTGTATACGGTTTCTGAAGAGTGGAAGGTGAGTTTGAACTGCCAAACTTGCGGTTCAAACCGACCTTTTGGTCCAGTGCTTTATCCTACAGTGCCTCACCAGACTGATTTCTAGTCCTGAGGATTCCACCTCTACCCCTATGTTACAAGAATTAGGTCATTATGTGTCATTGGATCCATTCCCGCTCATTGTGTCCCTATAGGTCAGAGTAAAACTATCCCATAGAATTTCCAAAGCTCTAGTTGTTACTGGAACAGATTGTTAGGGTTCTTCTCCCATGAGCCACTGATGGATTCTACCTGCTAACCTTTTTAGTTAGTAGTCAAGTGCTTACCCACTGTGCCACCAGGGATCCTTACAAGAATTAAGTACCTCTTTTTTCCCTTAGAGAATAATACAAAGCAAAATTATTATTGCTGAAAAGTTTTATGGGTTTGGATCCTTTATTCTTCAGAAATTTTCATTGCTTTAAGACAATTATATCATCTTGATTACCTGAGGGCTTGGTTAAACGTAAATGCCCAGAGTTGTCCCCTAAATCCATGAACTTAGTTCTCATCAAGTGTTGGCCCCATAGTGGCTCATCTGGTGAAGACAACTTCTGAAATGTTGCAGATGAAATGTTTGGTTTTATTAAACTCTTTCTTTGTGCGTAACAAGATGTTTTAAAACATTAACGTTTATTGTGATTTGGGTGTAAATTTACAGAAAAATTGATTTTTCATTCAGCAATGTATACATTTTTTTCATAACTTTGATTGCAATCCCTACATGTAACACCACTCTTTCCATTTTGTTCCTGTATTTACTGTTTCTTTTGTCCTTGTCTGTCCCTTCCTGCCTTCTGAGCTTTATCTCTGGG